TCACACATTTTCGTAGGACTGAACTTGTGAGATCATGCTGGATATTTTGAAGGGCCAGGTCCTTTTTTGAACAATTTTATGATGGTTTGCTTTGGTATTCATTGACAGTTAAACTGAGTATAGTAAATAGTATATCAGTATATATAAACAAACCAATACAGTATTAACTGTAAAAGCTTAGCTAATTTGTGTGTCTATATTTTTACAACAATGAGTAATTTTATTTGATTACAGTTTTAAGTATTTTTAGGGGGGATTGTGATTTGCTCAATTACAGATTAAACTGATATAAAAAAAATTATTTGCATACATTTCTGGAAAATAAAACAGTAGTTTTTATTTAAACTTAAAAAGTACTTGTATGATCTTCTTTCATCTTATGCACATAAATGGACTCTCAAATATGTGCTTGACATGCAAAAAACAATGATGTTTGTTTTCGCATATATCACTGCACATTTTAGCTTCAGTTAAATCTTTAAGGAAATAAATTTCTGTTGCTGTTTTATAGCTTGTTATGTAAATTTTGCCATCTTTTATCTTTTAATTGAAATGCACAAGATGAGTGCATGTTAAATCTGTTGTGAGCTCCACTGTAAAATAGATATTATTAGACCTGTTGATTTTAAAGCGATTAGTTGACTTTACTTTTAAAAAGTGAGTAAACATTTTGCCCTAACTAAGTAAATGATATGCATAATTATAAAAAAACAGTAAGTTACAATGGGTTTAGTCACTTTTTAAAGTAAAGTCAACTCATCACTTTTAAGGCAACAGGTTTGCTCACTTTTTTAAAGTAAAGAAACAAATTGCTTTTTACAGTGATTTTAACAAAAATCTTTTTACTCTTGTTTTATTATTCTTGCTAGGTTACTTTTACTTTTTAAAACTTAAAACTAGCAGTACCGAGGCAGTCATTTTGATCACTTTTTTTTTTCATTTCATACCGTTACTAATATATAAAACATAATTATACTACCATGCCTTTTTATAAATATGTGTATATTTTACTCAAATTTCTGGTAACAAAAAATACTTTCTGATAGCAAAACATTACTTAATATCTATTTTAAAAACAACATTTTAATTGCTTTGCTTTCCCGCTTAACAGACAAACCCACCTTTGAGGGTGGTTTAGTAATTATAGGCTATATATTACAAAAAGATCATAGTTTTTGGATAATAACTGTAGAAACTCCAAAAGTTTCCAGCAGACACAAAACTTCACAAGATGTTAATATTAGGTTAGATTTAGGTTGCTGACGTTGATATTTTGTTGATTTTAGGTTGTATTATTGGAAAGTGACCAAAATTCAACGTCGAGCAAATTCTTAAAAACATACGTCATAGTGAGGTCAAATACAGACATTTATATTTACAGACAGAAATTTTGAGGTTTTTGGGTGTGTTGGAAAGTAACCAAAATGCAATGTCTGTCCATTGTTGGACATTGATGTTGGCCTGATGTTGGGTTCTGATGTCAGCTCGATTTTCTTTTCCAAACAAGATGCAATGTCCCACAAGGTTGGAGTACAATGTCAATCTGACATCATGTTGACGTCCAGTGCCTGCTGGGTTAATTCTAAAACCTAAGAAGCTAAGAATGTAAAAATACTTTGAATGTAAATATGCAGCCTGATCTCATGAGAAAACGTAAGTATTTTACGTTTTGTCAGTTTAGTGGCTAATTTGTACGAATTTGTATGAGTTCAGTCGACGAAAATGTAAAATTTTAAAAAGAACCTAACCCCACCCCTAACTGTCATTGGGTGATGAACAAATTGTACTAAATTGTACGGTTTAGATTGTACGAATTCATCCGAATTAGTCATTAAATCAAAAAGTTATGAATTGCAGTGAGATTGCGTTGAAATATGACGTGACAAAAAATTCTAATCAGTACAGTCTTTTATTAACAGTTAGATTGAACAACTATAATGGCCATTCTAGTTGTAATAGAATTCTGGTAGTTCCAGTATAATTTCAAGCTGTACTTTTTTACTTTTACCCAACATTTGTTTGGCTGGAATTTTACTCTCAGTATGTGTACTTTCACTTTTAAGTAGCATTTTGAAGTACTTTTTACACTCGGCAACTGACGATATGTCAACCATTCGATGGCAGAGTGATCAAATGCAGCATCTAACTGTATCCACAGAGTTATGCAGCAAAAACTTAATAGTGATGCCTGCCTTAGAGCGAGCACCACAAAAGAAGTGTCCTGTTGTCAATGATACTCAAGAGCCAATAGAAATCTTGAGGTAGATGAAAAGGAAGAAGCAGGAAGTCAATACCAAGTGGCCTTGGGTGAATTTGAGGACAGCTTGCATCCCTCTGCTTCATTTCATTTGTCGTCTCCCCTGAATGAGCTCTCTATACATACACCTGAAAACAGTGTCCCCTCTTTCCTGTCCTTTAATGGAATCAAGGTTGGCCACCTGTGGCCCAAATGGGCAATTTGACTCAGGCCTGAGGTTTCGCTTGAAAAAGAGGCTGTTCGTCCTTGCAATAGGACAACCTAAAATAGCTTCACTCCCTCTCCTTTCTGTCCCTCCAACAGATGCTTTAAAGAGCTGTCCTGCTATATGAAATAATAGGCTGGAGAGATAATAAAACTGTGTTCGAAATTAAAGTTATTACATTAGTCACATATTTTTAAAAGGTGGTTTACTTTAAAGGGGTTTTAATTTCAAAAAATCATTGAAACACATACAATGCATATAATAAAATATGTATAAAAATCTTAATAGCATAAATGGATAACCAAACTGTTATTTTAATGTTGGGGGTAAAATAGTCTTTTTTTTAATCATTATGGCCCTACATGCATGTGGTTGGGGATAAATTTAGAGGAAAGTCATGAAAATGTTTGCTTTGCTGAAAATGAATTGAATGGGCATCCATATCATCCTGAAAAATATTATTACCGCCATCTTGCTGACAACATCTGGGCTACATTCCAGTCCAATTTCCTCACGCCCTTCAAACGCTTACTCCTCTCTGTCTAGTTTCCTCAGATGAACGTCATTGATTATGTTACACAAGTGTCCACTACAGACAGAACATCTGAATTGGTTTAAATGAAGGTCTTGAGCACTTGGGAACCACACTGTTGTGACTTCACTTTCACATTGCATTCTGGGATGTATAGGTGCTGGGGTGGACAATATGAAGTCGACTTGCTCCCTCGGTCAAAATCGACAAATTAAGGGTATGTCCATGTAAGCTTCCCTCATTCATGGATAAAGTGGAACTCACTTCAAAATGGCATTGGGGATTCCCCAAGGGAACAAGGCAAGGAAAGTTCATGAGTGAACTTGAAGGCATCCCTAGTTTTGATATCTCATTTTTGTAACAGAATAATTTAAAATATATATCATTTTATGCAACACTTCTGTCTGGTTATTGAATCTGATTGGCTGACAGTTTGACAAAGTTTTACAAATATTGCAGCTGTTGGACAAAATAATGGACTTTTGAGGCTTTTTTAGGCAAGAATGTAGTTGTTTAGATTGCAATATGCAGTTTATTTATAAGGATAGTGCCTATTTTTTAAATATTTATAATTTCAGAGAGACAGCGCATTAGCATACATGAGCCTGTCATACTGAGCAGAGCAAAGATGTTTGACGCTTTGCCACCAGATGGCGACAGAGACTGTAAAATAAGCCCTTAGAGGTGGAAAACTCATTAAATCATCAATCACTATAAATCATCAAGTCATTACAAAACAGGTAAGTGACTTTCTAAGTTGATCTCTGTCCTTTGTATGTTGTACTGTATTTATATCATAGTTTGGGTCATAGTATTTATACTGTATTTATATCATAGTTTTTGGGGTTAATTATTGTGATACCCCTAGAAATACTGAGAAATATCTTTGTAGACTGATGGCATTTCATGACGCTCAGCTTTGTAATCTTAAAATGTAAGCAAAATCACCTGTTTTGTCATCACTTTAGACATAATGTTAGAGAATCATTCAAATACTAGCTCTTAAGTGACATTGGTGAAGTAGCAATGGTTTCTGCTGTTCTGACGTCAGCTGCAGATGTGAATGAGTGGTGGAAGAAAGTAGTTCCTTGTACAAAAGTATTTTTAGTCTCTCCATGTTTGATTTTCTTTTTTATACACACGATTGTGCCATCGGACTGTTGTATAAATGCCATGTCACATGAGTAGCAGTGCGGTATGGCTGTATATCATCATTGGTGGGAGACTCAGGCACTCCGCCTGCAGCCTCGAGCCAACGCACGCCTCCCATCAGTGCCAATATACAGCCACATTGCACTGCTACTCGTGTGATATTGCTCATAAAAACTCCAATCAATGACTTTCGGCATCAATCGAATGCTCGTTGTCCATGACTAACATACACCATTAGACGGATGACAAAACAGACATTCAAAGCAGAAGCTCCATAAAATGATAAGGAATATAAAACATGTATGTGTTCAACCCCTCCATGTGCTTTTGAAAGCTTCAAAATAAAAGCCACTATCCAACACCATTACACAGCATATAATAGCCAGGATAAAATTATAAACTACTCTGACTATTCATCTGATAGGAAACAGATGGCTTGAGGGTGAGTAAATTATGCTGTATTTTTAGTTTTTAGGTCAACTATTACTTAAAAAGGTCCCACTTTATATTAAGTGTCATTAACTACTATGTACTTACATAAAAAAAATTAATACAATGTACTTACTGTGTTTATAATGTATTTGAGAACACTTGTGGTGCTCTTGAGTTTGGATAGAGGTTGGGTTATGAACAGGTTTGGTGGCATGGGTAGGTTTATGGGTGGGTTAAGGTGTAAGGGATGGTCAACAGTGTATTTACAAATGCAATTACAAAAGTTAATTACAGATGTAACTACATACATGTATTTAATCAAGCAGAAGTACACAGTAAATACATGTATTGACACAATAAGTACACTGTAACAAACTATTAATTTCTATGTAAGTACATATTAGTTAAGGCCACTTAATATAAAGTGGGACCCTTAAAGAATAAGTTAGAAAATGTATAAACTATTTAATAATTACAAATTTTTTCATGACTTATTACAGTGTATTAACAAAGGTAAATGGGTTTAAAAATAATATAAACTTTAGTGAAAATCTCTTTTTTTGCAGTAGTGTGAGTGTGAGAAAATCATCGTACCGTTCTCCGCTGTATCATAGAGCGAATTGTCCTGCATTTCTCTGACATGTGAAGTGCCTGGAGCTTCAGAACAGACGCATCTTTCTCTCTGTGATCTTTGCTCAGCCTCCACATCCTGACAGAAAAAAAAAAACATCTAGAGTGTGACATCTGAATGCATCTATTATGTGCTATGAGCAATTATCAAAATGCTCATCATCATTATGGTAATGTATCTGATGTGACTGAACCTACACGAAAGGCCTGCTGACAGAGACTGCTGATCCAGTCCTTCACCTCTGACTGCAGACCCGCAAACACGTATAGTTTGTCAGAGGTCTCGAGCAGAAAAGCGGCACAGTCTTTCGGACAATCCGCCATGTCGCAGTTGGAAATGCGAATGCATTCTCGCAGGCGGATCACCTGTTTGTAATCGGGTTTTCGTTTGTTGGTGCCCTGTTTGAAGGAGGAGTGTTTGTGCTCATAAAGCTCCAGTCGAGCCACACTGCGCCTGCCCTCCGCCACCAACACACACCACACTTTCCTCCATCTCTGAAAACAACACATACAGACATATATAACAGAGTCAAATATGTGCTACGCTGGTGCTAGTTTTATATACTGTATGGCTATTTATATATATTTTATATATATATGGAACGAGAGAGAGAGAGTAAAGTGAGTTGCATTATGCAGCTAACAAATAATCCAAGCAGTAGTTCTATTTAATAAATTAAGTAATAAATACTTTCAAGGAAATAATTTAACTGAAAATATGTTTTTAAATACGTTTTATTTGCTTTCTTTCTATAGTTTTTGAATATAGCTATCATACATTAATCGTAATTTACATAAAGAAAAATGCATCCCATCATACTGTTATTCAGTGTAACATTATATGGCAAAGTCTTGTCCGGCATATTAAGAAGAAAAATCATTTGATGACACATAAAAGTGAATGAATAAACAGGGTTGCAGTTCATTTTGTGGTAAAAGTTCAATATTTACTGTATTTTTAGTTTTTAATTAAAGTAACATTTGAAAAGTAAAGTAACCATGCCCATCTTTATTTTTATCAAAAATATAAAATTGTACATACCAGCCTGATTTCACGTAGAAACGTAAGTATTTTACGTTTTATTAGTTTAGTAAATACACCACCGTTCAAAAGTTTAGGATCTTTTTTTTCATGTTTTTTATTTATTCATTTTTTTTTAAGAAAATTGTTTTGTTCATCAAGGCAGCTGGCTAGCTAGCAGCTAGCCTTTTGCAACTCTCACATAGTCGCCCACTGAAGCTAAGCAGGGCTGTGCCTGGTCAGTACCTGTATAGGACACCACATGGGAAAGTTAGGTTGCTGCCAGAAGTGGTGTTAGTGAGGCCAGCAGGAAATGCTCAACTTGTGGTCTGTGTGGGTCCTAACACCCCAGTAAAATGAAGGAGACTCTATAATGTTCATTGAGCACCGTCCTTTGGATATTTTCGTTAAAAATCCCAGGATGTCCTTTAAAACAGTGTAGGGGTTTCAGCCCTGGCCTTTTTCCATCATGCCTCCTAACCATCCCCATATCATAATTAGCTTCATCACTCTCTTCTCTTCACCAAGCAGCTGGTGTGTGGTGTGCGGTCTGGTAAGATATGGCTGCCGTTGAGTCATCCAGGTGGATGCTGCACACTGGTGGTGGAATGTGTAGAGCGCTTTGAGTGTCCAGAAAATCGCTATATAATTGTAAATGTAATTAATTAAATGTTAAAAAAAAACTAATTGTTAATTATTTATTAAAAATTTAAATAACTGCTTATTGTATGAAGTTATTTGAAATTAAATTATTTCTCCAGTCATTGCTTTTCTTACTATTACTAATAATAATAATAATAATAATAATAAATGCTAGATTAATTTCTGGAGGATAATGTGACTCAGAAGAACGAAAGCTGAAAAATCGTCTTTAAAATCTTTTGAACATTTATTTCATAGTGAAATAATATTTTACGATTTTATACTGTCTTTATGATTAAATAAATGCAGCCTAGGTGAGCAGGATAAGCTTATTTTAAAGCATTTAAAAATCTTACTGAACCCAAACTTTTGAACGGTATAGTGTGTGTTTCTTTGTTTGACCAGATAAATAACCCATTGAGATCTATATTTCATTTACATGGGTGACCTGGCCAAGAGGTCCACAACACACAAATTAGGAAAATAAATTATAAAAATAAATAAAAGGTAAAGATAATATAAAAATTCACTTTAGTTATTCAGCTATACCACATTACAATATGTTAAAAACACATACATTGAGAAATGGACTGTTGTTGTTGCGAAATGATTTAATTGGGATGAGCTCAGACATTTTTAGTTCAGACTGTATAGAGTATTCCATTCCGGGATGAGTGGGCAACATGAATAAGGGCTCGCTACCCTATTTTAGTTCGAACTTGGGAAACAGGCAAATGATGAGTTTCACTTGAACGTAGGGCATTCTGGCTTTTTGACCTATGAAGTAAACATATGTATAAAGGCACCAGACCCAGAAGAGGGTTGTAGACCAGTGGCAAAAGACCGTAGCTTCGTTTTTTGAGAAAAATGAGTTATTGATATTTTTGGGACAATGAAGACCTTGTTTTTTCAAGAAAATAACATCTTGTCTTAACAGTAACTTCCAAAAGCCCAAGCGAAACCAAGGCAGAGCAACATAAAAGCAGTTAAGCCTCTTTTGGCTTTGTTTTAGTATGCTCCAATTTAGTTGTGATTCTCTGCCTTTGTTCAGCTGCGCATCAATATGAGGTTACTGTGAGCAGGCTGGAGTTACGATATTCTGCCATTGTTTCACTGTCATAATTACTATGAAAAACTAGGCTAATAGTCTAAATAATTTTAAATATTTTTTCTCTATAATTCATATTTTTACTATACAGTCAAGTTAACTGGAATGACAGTGTCAGCATTGTAGCATGATCATAAATAAAATCTGTCCCTTCGCAGTTCATCAAATCATTTCCTACCTTTTCTTGTAACCCAATAAAACCCACTGAAATTAATGTCTACAGAGATGTTTAATCCACAAGAATATTGATCATTATTCCAACCTGCTGGCATTCATGTCAGTCCAGTCAATCTTTAGGCTAGGCTGGGTTATTTTTGTGATAGAATTATTTTTTTTAATGGATTTAAACTGTTATGTTGAGCAGCAATATTGATCATGTGGAAGTTTTTGCATACAATACAAAGGCAGAGGACAGTAACTTTAAAATAGGGGGGAATGGTCAAATTTGAGCTCAAGATTATTTATTGTAGATAAATGTCATCACTAAAACATGTAATTCAATTTTCCAATGTCCTATCTATAACTAAATTGTCTGTGCAACAAAACAAATCTTTGAAATCATTTTTCTCAGTTCATTTTAAACTTTTAGACATTTAGTTATTGCCTATAGCAGGCACACAACCTCATAAGACGTTAATTTTTTGGTTAGATTTAGGTTGTGATGTCAGGTGACTAATACTCAATGTCTAGTCAGCGTCTAAGCACAACGTTATTTTGATGTTCAATAGCGATGTGAAATGACACTAATATTTGGTTGATTTTAGGTTGTGTTTGAAAGTGATGGTTCATCAGGTACGGCAACCAAAATCCAACATCTGATAGACATCATAGAGGTAACGGCCACACGACCTCAAGCTGTAACATCATGTTGATATTTGGTTGATTTTAGGTTCAACCAACCTAATTTTACTTTTTGATTTGGTTGATTTTACTGTACAACATACAGTAAACATCTGTCATCTTCTCATCAGTGACATGCATCTAAACAGTCTCTGGGTCAATGTGTGTAAAGATTTTGGACATCTTCTTGGACACTTTTAATGCTTCCAAACTTTTGCTTTGCTGCAATTATAAATCAGCCATTTCTTGAGTAGTTTATTATGATTCAATTTACCTTCTATGTGACTTCATAGACAAGAAAAAATAAGTACTGACTGCAGGTTGAAGGAAAGTTGTGGAGTAAAATTACCAGTACTGCATTAAAACGTACTCAATGCCAAGTAAAAGTACACATTTTAAAAACTTAGTAAATTACAATTTCTGAGAAAAACTACTCAATTACAGTAATTTGAGTATTTGTAATTATCTACTTTACACCACTGGTCAAATGAAATAAACTTTTCTTCTTTTGAGTCAAACTGATAAAAGAAGAAATTTTATATAAAATAAATTTGTTGAAACCTGATACACTTAATATTAAGTTACAGTAACATTAAAATACATTTGTTGTCTTTTATTTTTGTCAAATCTTGTCTTAAAGTGCGAAGACCTGATGCATTTTAAAAGCAAATTAGATTAGACAGTTATAATTGTGTTTTTTAATGTTAACTTTTTGTGTGCTCTTGTTCTCCATTCCAGTGGCTGCAGCCACACATCTGAGCGTTGCAGTTGTCAGTCCGCTGATGTAAGTACTTCTCCTTTCATTTAACTTACAGAAAAATGTTGCTAAAAACCCCACTTATAAATCTCCAGAAAAGGGCATTGCGCCTCACCTTGCCGAAGCGCTGCTGATGAAAGTAAAGCATCCCTTTTCTCCTGATGTCCTCCTCCATGGCTCCTCCGCTGGGCCTTTCTTTACCTTGTTTTTCTCTTTCTCTACGCTCTCCTTTGATTGCACTCTGCTTTCAGGCTGTCTGAATGACTATGAGATGCATAGCTGTGAATTGCGGACTGACCTTAGGTACATTGTCAGCCATTCTTCCTGTCTAAGATGAAGTCTAAATCTGTCTCTTGGAGAAGTCAGATGAGTGGGTGTGTGTGTGTGTGTGTGTGTATGTGGTGGCGTTGGTTTCCTTCTTTTAAGATTCTTCCTGTTTGACACTATTTAGGTCTGAACTGAAGACCCTGCAAATACGAAACGTTTGAATCTATTCAACATCCTGCTACAGCATCACATCAGAATCACAGATTTGCAGGATAACTTAAGAAATTTACCTTTAGTCACAGTGAATGCTGTGCGAAGCTGTGTTCAGCATATCAGTGAAAATTAGATTAACATGATCTGACGAATTGCATCCTTTTCAGTGGATAGGATCTAAAATTTAACACACTGAGAGTGTTTGTGCATATCAAATTGTGCGTTATATGTATACTTTTGTAACCTTAATTCTGTTTCTCTGTGTAGAACTGCTGTCAGGAATCTGGCCAGTTGGAAATAATCATGTTTAGGCCTCTTTATGTTTTGGTCATGTGTCTAGAGTGCCCCTTTGTGGCCAACAGCTGCTATTACAGCTCATTCACAAATATGGCGTCTTTCAGGCCCTTATATGTGTAGGACGGCAAGCTGATTGATTCCTTAATTCGTATCAGCATTTAACTATAGAGTTTTATGCAATACAGTATTTGATGAAATGTATGTAATTTATAGTCTTATGTTTCACTGGTATATCTTTGAGAAAAATTTAATTATTGGGACAGAAAGTAAAGATCATGTTCCATTAAAATATTTATTACATTTCTGAATTTTAATTGGTTTATTTGGACATCTTTAAATGTTTTTTTTTTCAATGATTAGTTTAATGTCATGAAAAGTCATGACTGCAAATGTTTTTTTCATGTTACACTAATTTATTTAATAGCCAATCTAATCAGCTAACAAAGTTTAATTGGGTGTTTTTAGTCAGGTTGACTGATGTGATGTGAGTTGAGGTGGCCCGAAAAGTTCATTTGTTTTAATAAAAAAAAAAAAAAATAGGTTGCAATATTTATTTATTTTTTACAGTTGTGTTTTGGCCAAATACTGTTTTGAAAAATTGGCTCATACAGTTGAAGTCAGAATTATTAACCTCCCATGTATTTTTTTTCTTTTTTAAATATTTCCAAAAATGATGTTTAACAGAGCAAGGAAATTTTCACAGTATGTCTGATAATATTTTTTCTTCTGGAGAAAGTCTTATTTGCTTCATTTCGGCTACATTAAAAGCAGTTTTTAATTTTATAAAAAGCATTTCAAGGTCGAAATTATTTGCCCCTTTAAGCAATTTTTTTTTTCGATAGTCTACAGAATAAAGCACTGTTATACAATAACTTGCCTAATTACCTTAACCTGCCTAGTGAATCTAATTAACCTAGTTAAGCCTAAAAATGTCACTTTAAGCTTTATAGAAATGTCTTGAAAAATATCTAGTGAAATCTTATTTGTTGTCAGCATGGCAAAGATCAAACAAATCAGTTATTAGAAATGAGCTATTAAAACTATTATGCTTAGAAATGTGTTTGAAAAATCTTCTTTCCTTTAAAAAGAAATTGGGGGAAAAAATAAACAGAGGGGCTAATAATTCTGACTTCAACTGTATCTTCTTCTTCTGGGCTTATTTCTATGTTTCAATCACAGCATATATCGATGATGTGAAAATTATAGATACTAGTTTACATTTTATAACCTTTACATTAAATAAATATGTAGAACAACAGTATTGCCTAAATGTACAATATGATCAGAAAAAAAGTATGGGATTTACCTTAGTAAATACTCTCACCAAAGATTTTATAAATATATGAGAAAACTACATGCATTTTGTTTTACTTTAAGTGAGAATGCTTCTTTTATAATGTGTATTTAAACTTTTGGGATTCATTCATTCATTTTCTTGTCGGCTTAGCCCCTTTATTAATCGACAGTCACAGCGGAATGAACCGCCAACTTATCCAGCACATTTTTGCGCAGCGGATGCCCTTCCAGCCGCAACCCATCTCTGGGAAACATTCACACACACACACACACAAACACACACACGCAAATGCAGGGAGAAAATGCAAACTCCCAAGCCGAGGCTCAAACCTGCAGCCCAGCGACCTTCTTGCTGTAAGGCGACACCATTTTTTGGGATTTATAGTCAATATATTTATCAAATGGGCGTCACGGTGTCACAGTGGGTAGCACGATCACCTGACAGCAAGAAGGTTGTTGGTTCAAGCCTCGGCTTGGTCAGTTGGCATTTCTGTGTGGAGTTTACATGTTCTTCTCATGTTTGCGTGGGTTTCCTCTGGGTGCTCTGGTGTCCCTCACAGTCCAAAGACATGTGGTACAGGTGAATTGGGTAGGTTAAAATTGTCCATGGTGTATGTGTGTGAGAATGAGAGTGTATGAGTGTTTTCCAGTGATGGGTTGCAGCTGGAAGGGCATCTGCTGCATAAAACATATGCTGCATAAGTTGGCGGTTCATTCTGCTGTGGTGACCTTAGATTAATGAAGCGACTAAGCCTAAAAGAAAATGAATGAATGAATGTCCATAGTGTACGTGTGTGAATGAGTGTGTAAAAAAATGTATAAATGAATATTTATCAAATCTCTTCATAAAATCTGTATAATAATATTTTAGAGCAGAATTTGGTGATTAATTTAATAATGATGTAAGGGGAAGTACCATATACAAAAACAGTCTATAAATCTAAAAATGAATCTGTTGATACTGTAATAAATGCAATTTACTTGAAAACACTATCATTTGTTATGTTTAAGGTTCTTGTTAGCAATTAAAGAAAATAGCTCAGTCTTGTAAATTCTTACAAGACAACATTACTTTGGGGCTATTTCTCAAGTCTGTCTTGTAATATTTTTCTTTTCACATTTTTGTATTGTAACTACTTCATTGTTGGATTATATGATCTCAAAATAAAAAGAATTTGTATTTCATAAATTATGTATAAATACATGTGCAGTTATTTTGCATCAAAACTGAATATAGAATTCATGCAAAAGGGTCAAAGACTGCAGCTGAAACCTCCACTCTGTGCAAAGGCAGTCTTTGGCCTTGTGACTTCCCACTGTCTTTTGGCATTTCAGTAGTTTCATCACTGGAATATGTTTTGTAAGAAAATACTCTTTTGAAATTTTACAAAGTTTGTTTTGTTTGTTTGGTAATTTGTTAAAATGTTGAATGTTCTCTATATAAAAATGTTACTTTAATCAATTCAGATGTACTTTATTTAGCATTTTATTAGTATTTGTTTAATTTTTTTAAATAAATCTTCATTTTAGTTGTGTAGGTTTAAGACTTGTTTATTTCAATTAGTTGCCAAGATAACATTTAAATTTAATTTTCATTGTTATATTTAACTTTTTGTATGTTTTAATTTGGCTTCTGGAAATATATTTTTAAATAATTTTAACTGTGGTTAGCACTGTCGCATCACAGCAAGAAGGTCGCTGGTTTGAGTCCCAGCTGGGCCAATTGGTGTTTCTGAAAAGAACTTGCACGTTCTACCTGTGTTTACATGGGTTTCCTCCGGTTGCTCCAGTGTCCCCCACAAAAGACATGCGCTATAGGTGAATTAGATGAACTAAAAAATGGCCCTATAGTCTATGAGTGCGTGTGTGAATGTGAGAGTGTATGGGTATTTCCCAGTACTGGGTTGCAGCTGGAAGGGCATCTGCTGTAAAACGTGCTGGAATAGTTGGCACTTTATTCCATTGTAGCAACCCCTGATAAAAAAATGGACTAAGCTGAAGAAAAATTAATGAATGAATTTTTATTGTGCAGTTTAACAGTATAATATCATTACCAGTGTTATTTTAATTTTTTGTAGCGTATTTTTATAGTTCCTGGCCATTAATAGGGAATTTTAAACAGTTAATCCTACTGAAATAATAAATACATCAAATGACAGAAACACAGACGTAAAATGCCACAGGTGTTTGTTTATAAAATAATTCACAACGTCTTCAAACACTGCTCAAATAATCAGAATCAAGGACCCGAAATCAGTTTTGTTAAAAATATATGGAGATGTCAATTACCAAGTAGAAAAACAGAAAGCAATTCTGAGTCACAGTGTGATAAAACCAATACAATAATAGCAGCAAACAAACTCTGGATGAAAAAAGCATCTAATCCTGTGGTGTCTCCACGCTCTCTTTCACTCCACTGAACACTCTGAATGAGCTGTTGGCTGGCAAAGCTACAGCTGACTGAAATTTTCTGTCGTAAAATCTTGTGGTTTGGTTGAGAGCCTGAAACCTGCCAGTTGAGTCATCTTCAAACCTTTATAGTGCTCAATTAACTGCATGTCATAATTCAAGAAGCTGATTTCCATTTTACTTGATCATTAAAAGGTAAAATACTTGCAATTAACAGCCACCAACAACTATACTTAGCAATGCGCTACCAACCAATTAGCAAAAATGCAAGCAATAACTAGAATCCTGTACATTCATTCATTTTTCTTCAGTTTAGTCCCTTTATTCCCCAGGGGTCGCCACAGCGGAATGAACAACCCATCCCTGGGAAATGCAACCCATCCCTGGGAAACACCCATACACTCTAATTCACAAACATACACTATGTACAATTTTAGCCTATAAATTCACTTGTACCGCTTGTTTTGGACTTGTGGGGGAAACGGGAGCACCTAGAGGAAACCCATATGAACACAGGGAGAACATGCAAACTCCACACAGAAATGCCAACTGACTCAGCCGAGGCTCAAACCAGCGACAATCTTGCTGTGAGGCGACAGCATAACGCCACCATGTCGCCCCCCAAACATACACTTCGGCCAATTTAGTTTATTTAATTCACCTATACTGTATTCCTGCATGTCTATAGACTGTGGGGGAAACCAGACCATCCAAAGGAAACCCAGGCGAACACTGGGAGGAGAACATGCAAACTCCACACAGAAATGCCGACCAAAGCAACCAGGGCTCGAACCAGAGACCTTTTTGCTGTGATGTGATTGTGCTATCCACTGCACCACCGGGACACCCTTATTGTCTGACTATAAAATAAAGCATACAAACATACACTAC